CATGGTGTCTCCCATGATTCCAAGGCTTTAGGAGACTAGTAAAATTTCAAAATATATTTTTTGGAGGGGACATAGAGTTACCAACATTTTATTTTGCAAGTAAGACATTAAACACACACACATACATACACATACACACACACACACAATGACTATCACCACCACTTATTACCATCGTTCCATCAAAAATTATCATAGTTCCATCAAAAAATGCTATTTCAGTGTCCCAAAATAGAAAGGACATAGTTTTTAGAATAAAAGGATAGTCATTTTATATTGAATACATTTGGAAAAACACAAAATTTTTCTAATTTTTTCCTCATTTTGTCATGAGCAGTAAAAATTTTTATCACCCATGGGCACCAGGCGTCAGACAAATGTTTGTGAAGCACTGTAATTACAAAAGGAATGACAAAATGAATGTTTATTGAATGGAGTTCGATAGACTACCATTTACTAGCTGTGTGACCTTGGGCAAGTTACCAAACCCCTCTGAACTCTTGTTCCCTCACCTATAAACACAGGGCTGTTGCTCTGCAGAGGGGCTTTGAGAATAGCGCACTCACTACACTGAAGACGCTGCTTCCACAGTGCTCATTTCCCTCCTCTTCTCCAGGAGGCTCTAGTTTAAAGAATTCACCTTCCCTCCTGCCAGCCTTCCTGTCTTCCACCAGGTGGACTGGTCCAAGGGCCTCGGCAGGATGGGGATGCTTCTGGTCATACCAGGGGAGGCTTAATCAAGCTTTCTGGGTTCTCCAGGGGGTGCTAATTCCAGAAGTTCCCAGGTGTGGGGAGGACTGGTGCTGTCGATGCTAACTGCATAAGATTCACCTGCAGGAACTTGTTAGAAATCAAGACTCTCAACCCCATCAGGAGAGATTCTGATACAATAAGTCTGTGGGGAGGGTGGTGTCCAATGGCGTATACTTTTTAAAACAGCCCCCATTGCCTGATGTTTCTGACGAGCAGCTAGGTTAGCTGTTGATCATAGTTCTCTGGCTTTTGTGTTGTGACATTCTGCCCACTCAACTCATAAAAATGTCCGGCAGATCCTTCCTAGCATGGTGTCTTATGGGCCCTCATGAATGGGGTTGGAAGAAGATCCTGGGAGGAATTTTCTTGGCTGTGTGTTTCATGCCACCATCTCCTATCTTCCCCATCTCAACAAACGGTACCTCCCTCACCCGGAAACCTCAGGGTTATTCCAGACACGTTTCTTGCTCTCACTAACCCTGCTGCATCATGACCAACCCATCCCCAAGTCCCTGAACCTGTCCACTTCTCTCCATCTCCAGTTTGGTCTAAGCCACCACCAGTTCTCACTGGGATTGTGGCTTCCTAACTACCCCGTCTCTGGTATGTGTTTTACATGGTGGCCTGATTTGTCTTTTAAAGACATAATTCAGATTCTATCTCGTCTGCTTCAAACCCTTTAGTAGTGGTCAATACAACTTAAGATAAAATCTAAAGTTCTTAATGTGGCTTAAAAGTTCCTGCATGGCCTGATCTCTGCCCACACCTCCAGCCTGCAGTTGCACCTGCCTCTCCTCTGTTCTCCAGGCTCTTAGTTTCCTACCAGCTCCTGCCTCAGGACTTGCAGTCGTGCCCTTCCTTCTGCCTACACCCCTCTTCTTCTGCCTGGCCCCTTCACTGAGTCAGCTCCTCCAAACCGTTCAGGACTCTCCCTAAATGTCACTCAGGGACCCCTACAGCATACTGATTTCCACTATAGACTTCTAATATCATCTCACCCCCTTTCTTCAAATCACTTATCACAGTTTGCATTCCTGTTTATTTGTATGCATGTGTTTTTCAAATTATCTGTGTTTCATACTAGAACTAAGTCCTGTGAGAACATGGAACATAGCTGTTTCGCTCATCACTGTACCTCTAGCACAATGCCTGGACATAGTAGGCATGCAATAAATACATACTTACTCAGGGAAATGAACGAATGAACGAATGAATGATTAAAGATGTAGAGCTAGAACCCCAGAGGAAGGGCAAGGCCCCACTTTTTCCTCCTGGCCAGGGTGATGAAAGCCCCAACCTTGAGAGACCCACAGCCGACAGAGCACAGGAAGTGTGGAGAAAAGCTAGCCCTGGGTTAGGGTGTTGGATGAACTTCCTTGACATTTTATAGGTGCATTTTTTTTCAGGGGTATGTGGGGAGTGGGAGAAAGGTAGGGCTCTATAACAGAAGTACAACAACCAGCTTTGACAGGTGGCTCTGGGGTTCCTGAAGAACATTTGCTATGAGAGTAGGTTGGGACCAGACAGCAAAAATGCCAGACATCTGTGTGCAGTGGAACAGGTATGTGCCTGTTCCAACAGGTCTGGATTCAACTCCTGGTACCATCAGTCACTTGCTGTGTGACCTTGAGCAAGAAGACTAGCCTCTCTGAGCTGCCGTAGATTCATCTGCAGAGAGGGAGCAATTACTCTCCCCTGTCAGGGTAGTGGTGAGGATTAATGAGACAATGTCTGCAGAGGGCCTAGCAGAATGTCTGGCTTATAGGCTGTGCTCCATGATAATATGATATCACTTGGCTGTAAGCCTCCTGCAGGCAGGAGCCATGTTTGTTTTTGGCCCAGCAACCCAGCAATTAATACAGTGCCTAGCACTTACCAGGTGCTTTAGGAAATCTTTATGAATGCTTTCTTTAATGGCTGAATGTATTTTCCTTCCATAGGGTTTCTCTCTTCCAGGAAGGATTCCCCTGTGTGTGAAAATTTCTCCTCAACCAGCTGCTTTCCTTGTAAGCAACTCAAATCCCTGTGTTTTGAAAACTCTGAGCTGGAGGATTAGTGAGTGTCTGTGGGGAGGCTCTGTCCTGAGTGATCTCTGAGACCCTCACAGGCCCTTGTGCCCTCGTGGGAGGTGAGGATTCATCAGCCCCACTCTGAATGAGAGGACTGGAGAAGCAAGTCAATGGCGAGAGGAATTCCTATTTGGTTCTAGTACTATAGAGAGCACAACTGTTTCTTTGAAATGGACCTTCAATTATTTGGAGGGGAGAGTGGTTAGTTCAATAACGGCTTCCTGGGGCCTTTCAGCATTTTAAAAGATGGAAGATTTGGAGCAAGGCAAGGTTCCAGTGTTTTCTAAACAACGCGCTAAGCCCAGTTACCAGTTGGCTGCCCAGCACTTCCTGCTATTCCCCCCTCACCCTATCCTTCCCCCTCCATGCAATGCACCTCCCTCAATAGCCCAATCACTTCTTGAGATCTTGGCCAGGCCTTCCCTAGGCGGGTGGGAGCCAGCCTTCATTATAATGCCGGGCAGCGGAAGATTCCTTGGACATCTTGCACATGACCCAATGAGTAGAAATGCTGCTATATTATATTCCAATTACTTCCTGTCCCCCCCA